CTGCGCTCACATGTGCACTTGGTGCTCGGTGCACAGCGCTTATGGAAGGCCCAGTGACGCTCGTCCCACCGCTTTCCCCAATCCCAGTCACTGACATCGTTCTCGACGAGCCCGCGTTCCGTGTCGCGCTTGAGACAATGTCGCCTCGCAACGACGACGTACTTCCCGCTGCAACGTCGCTGCCTCTGATGACGGTGCCAGAAGATGGCGCGGTACCAACGATGGCCGAGTTCATGGACCGAATGAAACCGGCCGAGATGCTGTCAACCCTCACGCGGCTGCACACGTTGATTCACGAAGCACCCGAGGACGACGTTAGCGACGACACAAGAGCCAAAGTCGCCAACAGTCTTGCGCTGCTTGAAGCAATGCAAAGCCAAGGGACTGAAATGGATGCATAGGCGTGTAGTTTATGATACTAGTATAAACGAGGGTTTCCTCGTAATTGATAAGAAGAACGGGGCTTCGTCCTCTTGGTCACGATTGGTCATGCCAAAACCATGTCACGTAAAGCAGCATTCGCAGCAAAGGTCGCAGCAAAACCAATCGACGTCGGGCGTTGCGAATGAGGACGCACGGGTAAGGGTGGCTCGAGGCTGCCCGTCTTGTACTTGGCGCGCTTATTAAACTGGGTCACACGATATACAGCGTTTTCGTCGACAAATGTCTTCAGCCATAGCACCTTGAACCTTTCCTCGGCGGGGATTGAATTAGGCTCCTAATGCAAACTCGTCCAACCATGTTGGGTAGTACTTCCCGAACCTGGCGCTGCTTGATGCACTTTTGCTTGGCCATTAAGTGCGCGAGCTTGACGTCGTCCCAGGCCGCAGGCGTCATTGGTCCGCGTATGGCAGCACCAACCGTCTCTGGCGTGATTACTTGCACGACAAATCGACCGTGCTGGGCCCGCGGGATCGCTTCGTAGATCGGGTACTGATCGTCGCCACGGTAAAGTGTATCTCCCAAAGTGTAGCACTCGCCGAATGCCAAATGCTCGTCGTCGTAGTATGTTCGCGGCGGAAGCGTCGGGCGTCTGAGTGAGCAGAGGCACAATAGCGCGACGAATGCCGCAATTCCTGCCACGATCCAAAGGACTGCTGTGAGAAGCGGGTCCATCGCGGGTCTAAAACGACACTTCAACCGGCATAACCGGTTAAACGCATTGCTCGATATTTCGGGACCGGGAAGCTAAACCGGTTCTCTGCTCTTCGTTTCGTGTGTCTGGTTGACAGCATTCTACTCGTCGAGAAGCAAGCATGGCTACGCGCAAAGACAACTTCAAGAAGGGCATCGACGTCGAGGACCAGCGCAAGAAGCGCGAGGACACGACGATCCAGATCCGCAAGGTCAAGCGCGAAGAGCAACTCCAGCAGCGCCGACGTCTGGCTGTACGCCCAACGCGCCTCCAGTCGACGCTAATGCGACCCGATCTTAGGCGGAATCCGCGGGCGTGCCCATGACGATGGGCGTGGCCGACCCGTCGCTTCTTGAAAAGGTGTGCGAAACTCTTGCGCTCGCTAGGAGCCTTAGAGCCTACATGTAGCTTGCCGAGTTGCCGCAGCTGTGCATGAACCTGCAGAGCCCCGACTCGGAGGTCCAGCTCGCGTCTGTGAGCAAGTTCCGCAAACTCCTTTCGATTGGTGATGTGAAGACTGTTATCGAAAAATGGTCTTACTTGTGCTGTAGAGAAGAACCCTCCGATCGAGGAAGTCATCAAGCTCGGGGTCGTGCCCGTCTTTGTCGAACTCTTGAAGCGCGAGGACTACCCAAGTTTGCAGTTCGAAGCAGCTTGGGCGCTCACCAACATCGCCTCTGGTACGTCGGACCACACCCGCACGGTCATTAGCAGCGGCGCCGTGCCCATCTTCTGTCAATTGCTTCTCTCGCCGAACGACGACGTGCGCGAGCAGGCTGTTTGGGCGCTCGGCAACATTGCTGGTGACTCTGCGCAATGCCGCGACATCGTCCTGAGCTGCAACGCACTGCGGCCACTCATGCAGCAGCTAACGATGAACTCCAAGACGACGATGCTGCGGAACGCGACGTGGACGCTTTCCAATTTTTGCCGCGGCAAGCCCAAACCGCGTTTTGACGAGTACGACCTTTCCACTCGAATTGCTGCAACTTATCCATCAATTGTAGCGTGCGCCCAGCGTTGCAGACGCTGGCCCAGCTCATTTTGACGCAAGACGACGAAGTTCTCACGGATGCGTGCTGGGCGCTGAGCTACCTTTCGGACGGCGAGAACCCGCAAATCCAGGCGGTCATCGAGGCAGGCGTCTGTCGCCGTATTGTCGAGCTGCTCATGCACCGCTCGCCGTCGGTTCAAACTCCGGCGCTGCGCACGGTCGGTAACATTGTTACCGGCAACGATATCCAGACGCAGGTCATGATCAACTTGAACGTCTTGCCGTGCCTGCGCGCGCTGCTCGAGTCGCCGAAGAAAGGTATCCGCAAGGAAGCGTGCTGGACGATCTCAAACATCACGGCCGGCAACACCCAGCAGATCCAGAACATTATGGACGCTGATATCTTCCCCGTGCTCATCCAGTATCTTGGAGCCTCGGTACACCCACAGACATCGCTCAATGATCTGTTGACGAGTCATCTAGACGGAGTTCGACATTCGCAAGGAAGCGGCATGGGCCATCTCGAACGCAACTTCTGGTGGCAGTCCGCTCCAGATCAAGCAATTGGTCTTCTTTGGTGCGCCATCATTATACGGCATGAATGTGACAGACTCCTATAGGCTGTATCGGCGCTCTCTGCAGTCTTCTTGACTTGCACGACGCCAAGGTCATTACGGTCGCACTCGAAGGTCTCGAGAACATTTTGCGCGTTGGAGAAGAGGAAGGCCAAGCCAACCAGACGTTTGTGAATGCCTTCTCCAACCTCGTCGACGAGTGCGACGGTGTTGAGAAGATCCAGATGCTCCAGTACAGCGAGAGCGAAGGTTTGCATCGTGATACATCGTCGAACCCGGTGCAACATGCCAATGTAGACATTTACAACAAGTCGATGACGATCGTCGAGCGCTTCTTCCAAGGCGAAGAGGTTGAGAGCGACATGGCCGCGCCCGCTGTACAGAACGACCAGTTTATGTTCGGCACTGATGCCTCCAACGCTCCCATGTTCAACTTTGGTCAGCCGCAGCAATAAGATCCCCGACCAAGGACCTTAATTTTGCCTATAAGACTTCAAGAAGACACGTCTCTGCACAATTTTCATGCGATCCGAAGCTACATTTACTATCAGCAGTTGCTCCCAAGAACGAATCGTTCAGTGTCGCAGCAATGCTGGTACAGTAGACTCGCTACCAGCGCTGTGCGTAAACAATTGACCTGAATAGAAGTTTCGCGACAGCAGTACAGAAGATACTTCATCAACTAGGGCCACACTATCGCCACTTGTTCGTTGGACCGACACCATGTCAGTAACGCATCGCTCTTTCGAGAGCCGCCATCGCCGCACAGACAAAATTGGCGTCTTCGTTGGTTCAGAGGTAGGTCGAGATCACGACATACAGCATCGAATTCAGCGCGTGGCTGCGGGTTAGCAGTAGCTAGGCTGTCTCGAGTTCTCAGTAGGACCTCGCAATCGTACGACTTCACTATCCCGAGCAGCCAGTTCCGCATAGGATCTAAGACGTCAGCTTCGAGGTCGTCGCGATACGCATCGAGCGGCGGCAGAGTAGGAAACGCACCGAGAGAAATGTTCTAGTCTTGCGGGCGAAAAAGCTCGTCGATGTCGCACAGCGCACCGGCCACTGGTCAGCAAGACCTCGCAGAGCGCTTGTGCAAACTCGTTCCCCAGCGCACATGAGCGGGAGGGGTGAACAAAATACAACAGCGTGACAGAGATGCCGCGGAGCATATAGCATATAGAAGATCATCGTGGCGGGTGGCCTCACGATCGGAATTGCCCTGGTCATCCTCTATGACGCATGCAACCGTACCAATAGCTTCCGTGCGCGAGCGCAACGCCGAGGCACAGCAGAAGTGCCACGACAAGAGGAAGCGCTGTCAGGACGCTGTAGAGGAGACACGTACGGACAAGAAGAAGCAGAATCTGGCGAAAGATGCGCTGGACAAGAAGGCGCGACGCGAGCGGACGCGGGTTGCTGAAGCGCTGGACAGTTTTCGCTCTCTTGAGCTGGCCAGCGCAGGCCTTTCGCTCCACCCACTACTACAACCAGGCCGCGCGTGCCACTATGCGCAAGGAAGGTCTTTCTCGCGCCAGTCGAGCGTGCCGCCACGAGCGTAGAGCCACACCAATCTGTAAAAAGTCGAGTCGAGGTGCTACACGATGGTGCCGGCCGCACGACAAGCCGCTCTCGCAAATTTCGAAGCTACCTGTGGCACGGTGTCCAAGGTTCGGACACGGCGGTGCAGCTCAGCAGTGCTGCTTGACTTGAACCCGGGCATGTCGTGGGTCTGGAAGCACTTGGGCAGACTCAAAAGCGGCCCCAAAAAAGGCTCCTCTGGAGCCGTTACCGACATCGTGTGCTGTGTGTGCCTGGCTGCCAAGCTGCCTGTCCGCGATTGCATCGTCACCGTCCGCGATTGGTCACCGTCAACAAGAAGAGTTAGTTCATTGAACGCCCCGCGTGAGTTCGAGGCCAAGCACCCCAAACTCTTCCCAGTGGTCGTCCCCGGAGATGAGACAGCGCCTGCTGCAACGTCGCCGCAACCCAACGCCCCAAAGGTCCGCGGCACGTTGGACCACTGCATCAGCAAAAGCAATGCCGACAACCTTGCGCGCTTGTATGCATGCGTGGCCCGACTTGTCGTAAACCGCAATGCTGCCCTTAACTTGGTTACTGACGAAGACGTAACAGTTCTACTCCAGGCCGCAACGTACCTCGCACTAGGCACGTACACGGCCATGACCAAGGGACAAATTGTTAAGTCCCTTGTGCACATGTTCAACTCGTGTGTGCTCAGCGTCAAGACGCTTTTTGCACACACGTGCGCGACATGCATCGCGCGCAGGATCGAGCCCCGGGTGGCCTACCGTTCGCCACGACGGGTGGGAACTCTGCGATCAAGCAGTTCTTCGGCGTCTCGGTGTACTGGATCGACTTCACGACTTGGGAGACGGTCATGCCGGAGAAAGCAGAAGATCAACTTTGTCGACTTCCTCGAACGCGAGCAGCGTAGCACGCTCAGCCCGGCCTCGTTGAAGAGTATTCCCGGCAGGAACTGGATCCATCTCTCTAACCTTGTGGTCGTAAACCTCTGGTGGTACAAGAACGGATGTCACCTCCGCCTCGTCGAGCGCATCGCGGCCCGTGAGCTGACGCGCCCGGATTCGAACGCGTTTCAGCAGCGTGTCTTCTCGTTTTGCAAGCTGATCGACTCGCCGTTGCGCCAGAACCTCGGCAATACCAAGTTTGAGATGCTTCTCGTCCTTGCGTTCAACAAGCGAACTCTGTCTGCCGAATGCGAGCTCGTTAAGGTGCTCGAGGCGACGATGACGGCCTTGGAGTCTGCCACGACACCCATTGACCTTAACGGCAACATCGACAACGATGAGACCGAAGCCGGCTTTATCGTCGTTGAAACGCTGCGGTCGGCGGCCACAGTCGGCACGGCGTCGAAGGAGCACAAGATTTCTAGCGATCAGTTTGAATTAGTTAGCATCCAATCACTGGGTTGATTCACTTATTGCGTCCGCGAGTCATTAGATAGTCAAGAAAGCAGGATGACTCGCTGTCCCTGCTGTGGCTTAGGGTGTCGCACGCGCTTTTGCATACAGCGCGAAGACTAAAGATGACCGAACACTACTCATTGTGATCCTACGTAGCTTAGTCGAGCGAGTTGCTACAATTGTGCGATAACAGGACTTTCATTGCTGACGATTGCTGCAATAATCAATCGTGTTACTGCACTTTCGATCTAGTAAGTTCAATGCTGTATGCAACGTAGTACATTCCTTCGAACTTTGTTCGTACCGGTATTCAAAAGCGTAGTCATGTGATACAGTCATGCAGTGGTATAAATGGTGCAAAAGAGATTTACGTTGCTTTCCCGACGTGCACTTTCTGGTAGATCGGATGCAGTGACAGAGGGTGCGATACAGAGGCAGCGATGCAGTGAAGAATGCCAGATAAACTTAGTGACTTTAAGGTCGTACAACGAATACTCGAGGTTTACAAAGATAAAACCATAACAAAATTCTACAAGTCAATCCGTGACATGATGCTATACAATAGTATACAAGCGCAGACCCAGAACGTCATACATGCGAAGTACCAAACAGTCGCAACCCACATAACAGAAAATAGACAGTAGACAGGACACCAGGATCTAACGTCAGCAGCTAACGTCTGCATTCGATCTACAAGATGCAAATTGCAAAAGGAAAAATGTCAAAACTGGGTGAACGTGGGCCCAAATCAACCCAAACCTGGGTAAATTGCATAAAAACACAAACACTTGGTTTAACTATTGGGTGGCTCGGGGCTGGCTGGCCTCCTACCCCTCCTTAACCGCAAATAAGACCAAAACAACAATTCTTTAACCTTTCTCAACACCTCACAGCACCCCCACCTACCCTTCCATGCGACTACCTCGCCAAACATTCCAAATACCCTGACGGGAACTTGAGCGAATGGTAATTTTTTCACTAAATCCTTGTTTTGACGCAGCTTCTACAAAACACACCGAGGTTTGTCATTTTCCCATTTCAAAAAGCAACCCAAGCCTTGACGCAGCATATACAAAACACACCGAGGTTTGTCATTTTCCCATTCCAAAAAAAGCAACTCAAGCCTGTTGAAAGTGAAGTACTCCGCTTAGTCAATTATCACGCATCGAATATAGTGCCTTCGCACAGAAAGAGGACACGAACAACGACTAGCAGGATACATTCGGAAACTGTGAACTAGAGCAGTGTGCAATATGCACACCACTGTCTAAAAAAACTGGCTGAGCTGAGTACTCTTGTAAGGCTTCGGGAGCTTTTTCAGAATTTGCCGTCCAATGAGCAGCTGCCGCTGTGATCCTAGACATTAGTGTCTGTACTCTGTTTCTGCACTGCCGTGTGGCTTGTGCTTCTTTCGTGCTTGCAAGAATTTTGATGTTGTATATTAGCGCGTATATTCTCCATGATATCTGTGGTCGCGTCACTACAGTGCGCGCCTACGTTCTTTATGTCACATATTGCTCGTGCAGACTTTTCTTCTCCTTCATATCTATAAACCGCAAGTCTTTGCCCTTTGGCCTTGCCGCAAAGGCAGCAAAGCATGGTGTTTAATAGACTCACTACTGCATCGCTGTCGCTATATGAGAAGGCATCCATCAAACCATGCGGAGCACAACAGGTCAGCAATAATAACTTGCAACTTTGAACATTTGCAAATCACTGACAATTGAAAATATTACGGGCTTTCGAAGGCTGCACTGCAATGCATACAGCATAGAAGTCACCTCGAAGACTCTTGATTGAATGCAGCATTTGTCAGCCATTGAGAGATCTCTTATGTACCAATAGAAGCAACCCGCTTAAAAGAAGCGACTCGGGATTACAATAAGTTATCGTTCATTTTTGTCAGCAGTCAGCACAGTCTACGTGCTAGATGCAAAAGCGCGTGCAAAACTTTGTAGCCGTGGACAAAGCAGCACCTGCCTGATAATGCCACCTCGTCGCAAATGCTACTCACGAGCTATCTACTTGAAATATATTGTGGCCGTAGGACCACAGGGCTCGCGTTAGTGCTGTATGAGGGCGGACATACCGGTGAGCGTGGACCGTATGGTTTTCGCGAGGCTTCCGAAACCAGTCATGTAACCTCGGCTTCACAGCACCGTGAGCTGAGCAAAACACACAGCGCTCGCGAACATCGCTACCCAAAGAAATTGAGTAGCGAGTCCAGCCTCGAGAACAAGTAACCCGGACGACTCTTCCACAACGCATGTGGGCAACCAAGACACTCTCCAATGCATTTGGCATTGCTTTCCAGATACAACAGTCACCTATATCAACGTCAAGTTGGGCTCATGATATGCGTCAGCCGAGTATCCGTTCAAGTAGATCATGGTCAAGGCTGCATTGCGTATAGCAACTGAAACGTAAGGCGTTAAGCCCGCGCTTGCAACCGCTTCGTGTGCCGATGACGACGGCTCTAACGTAGACGCCAAGAAGAACGATTAAGCTGAGAGATCGACTAGGACGCCGATATCGTAGGAACCACCAAGACTGACGACAACCACAGGAACGCCGAGAGAAAACTAGCTGTAACGATATATTAAGCGGACATTTCCATCGATGACGACGTCTTAGACTAGGTCATCATCGAGATGCGCACTACACGCTGTCCACGTATCCTGTGCTGATCAATCGACGACAGTCTCGAGGTCGACGCTCCCAACCACAATGTGCTAGCGTTTACCAACGTAAGGGAGTAGTGCAAGGTCCGCCTCATGCAATCCAAGGTCTACAAGCTTGACACTCGACTCGTTGCTGCAACAACGGAAAGATTGGCGACAAGCAAAAGTGCTCACCGGATCGTCGCCAGCCTCCAACAAGATAGAAAAATCATTCTCCTTGCTGCAGTAACAACGCCGACGGATGTACCATCCACAATATCTTACAACGAGAAGTACGTTTACCATTACTGGGGCTTTGTACCACAACTTTGGCCGTCTGGACCCTGCGGATGCTAAATAAATCCTCGGCTACCTCATTGCTGCGCAGTTCTTGAAATTGAACAATTTCGAAAGCAGGTGCTGCTCACATCGGGTCGTGCATGCAGCAACCGAATGAAGCCGCTACTCAGGTACTTTCGTTGCAATGCATCCTGCATACGCACAATGAGTTTGGTCGGAGGGCCACAGGTATCTCCCTAGTTTGCTTTAAGCTATTGGAGATGGGAGATTTGTCTTGCGAGCATCCTGACAACGGCGGAGTATCACCAAGAACACGACATACGACATGTCGGTCCACTATCTTTTATTATGCGTGTAAGGCTCTCTGCGTACTTGCACCTTATAACGAAAGGCGCCGTTGTCTGCTCGACGCTTCGAAAAGCAACATGCCGTACCAGCTTCGTCGCACTGTTGGTTTTTGAAAGCCCACGTACGTTGTCGGACAACGTGCACGAGAACTTTTTGGTGACGATACTGCCACTTGATGGCCTTCTTCGCTTACAAGTGGCCCGTGTTCAATGTGATTTCGACGAGCTCTTTCGCTCACACGGCTTGTCCTTCTTGCTCGGTGCGTATCGCAAGCTCCTGGAAGTTAAGGTCTTTGATCCTATGTGCAACCAACTGCTCGCGATCGAGAAGTCCCTGTATTTTATATGATATATGGCGGAGAGGTGTGGGAAAGTTAAGAGGATAAGATAAATGCAAAAGCACGAGCAATCCTACAGAGAACACGAGCAAGTGTACCACACAAAACCGACGCTACGTTCAACGCCACGGTACTTGCGCGATTGCCGGTAGCTCAGTTATCTGACCAGCGCATTTTATACATCTACCGACAGCGTCGTAGCTCTTGAAGACGAGGTACAAGCTGCAACAGCAAACGACGACGATGATAGGCTTTAAGGAGCATCTCCCAACTACCGTGTTGCGTTCCTTAACTCCATCCACCTCCACAACGTCTCGGGCTTAAGGTCAACGCTACAGTCATGCTGCTGCGCAGCTTGTGTCCATGTCGGTGTATGCAACGCAACGGAACGCGACTTATGCTGCGGGTATTGCGGGACCGATGCATTCAGGCTACGATTTTGACTGGCGCGCAAGCTGGCGACATTGTTTTCGTACATCAACGACGGTACGCACAACAGGCTGCCATTTTAACTGAAGGGTCCACAGTTCCCATTTCGTCTGGCATTTGCGATGACTATAAACAAGTCGCAAGGTCGCCCGGAACCTCGAGTTGGCATCGACCGACCGGAAGGAACCAGTTTCCGCGCACAGACTGCTCTATGTCGCGATGTCACGCGTTCAAGCGCGTGCCAGCATCGAAATCATGGTTCTCATTCAAAGTCGAATCTGGACGGACGCACGTACACAAAATCATCGTCCACGAAGATGTCCTGGGCTCGACCAGTCGATACGAGACAGACACTGCGCTACCATAAAAGAAGCAAAAACAGCAAAACACGAATCTCATGTCGTAGGTTCGCGGTGTACATTGAGATTTGCTCAAGAGGTGGCAAATTCAAAAATGAGCCACCCGTGCCCCAAGAAGTTCGGAGAGCTCGCTGCTCGCCCCGAAACTGTGCGCACTCGCTTAGCTTGTGGGGCCGCTCCGCAGCCGAGTCGGCTTAGCCCCCGGTCGGTCAGAGCTTGGTGACCAGAGGAGGGTGCACCTCTTTCCTTTTCCACTTACAGAATGGGAGATCAAAATAGAAGATCTTTGTGGCGAGTGGCCTCGCGATTAGATTGTCCTGGTTGATCATCCTTTATGACGCATGCAACCGTACTAATTGCTGCGTGGCTGCTCCAACTAAGGCGTGGATTATATGTCGCGGCTTGCTAAGCGCATCTAATCCTTAGGAGATGCTTGACCACGTTGGATGACATCGAGCTTTCGTCAGCAATTCACAGTTCCTTTATTCAACAATGGGGACCTACATCTAAAAAATTTCTAGCACTCTGAGATGACAAGGAGTAGTCCAAGGTCTTATTCGCCACTGTGGTTTCTGCCCTGGACACAAAGAATCTGTAGCAACAGACAAGTCAGCACCTGCCTGACACTACAACGTACGAGCTTTCTACTGAGTATTACCGTTAACCAACTGCTTCACCCCAAAACGAGTGTGGATGTAGGGCCACAGGACTCACTTTAGCGCTATACACTGCGTGAGATTGCGCTGAAAGAGAATTAAATAATAACTTGCTAGGTATATGGATGATGTACCGACCAGTAGAGCAACCTACCGGTAGTCAGAACCCACCGCACAAACTAGCCTGGTGCTCCGAGATGTTGTGAGATCGGCGTTCCGAGTTCGAACCGCCAGCACTAGGCTGTAGCTCTCTCCTCCTTAACGTAGCGAGCAGGTTGCAAACAAGCCATATAATTCTTCCGCTGCAGTATCGCATTTCATTACATTAACAGACGACACTTGTTGTACTCTCGTGTACATGATACCTTGATCTTGTTACACTGATGCATCTTGACCGTCGGGCAGGTGGTGCTTGAAAGCAAACTTGGCCGAGTCGTCCAAAAAGGAGCGGACTTCTGGCGTTGCGTAGTACTGACCCGTACTGCGGTTTATTTTCTCGTCCTCACAAACGCTGAGGAGAACCGTGTGGATTGCGACGTCGAAAACTCCAAGAAAGAGGCACGAGATCGCGTAAGCCAAAAGACCGGTCGCGATGAGCGGCGGGAACGGGCTTGTGAGGTGCAACGATGCGTGTGACGCCTCGAAGGCGTACATACCGAGAACGCACAAGGCCGTGATGAGCAGCTTTCCCATGAACAAGACGTAGGTAGCGACGATGCTTTGCGTACCAATGCGGCCGAGGTTGGCGGCCACGAGGTTGAATGCGTCGACAATCGCGTGGCAAAATGAGCCGCCTTTCAT